GTATACGTTTTTTAATGTTTATTTTTTAAAAGAGAGAGAGAGACAGAGCGTGAGCAGGGGAGGTGCTGAGAGAGAGGGAGACAAAATCCGAAGTAGGCTCCAGGCTCCGAGCTGTCAGCACAGAGCCCGATGCGGGGCTCAAACTGACGGACTGCAAGTCGGACGCTTAACCGACTGACCCACCAGGCGCCCCGCTCTTTCTTAACAACAGAACCCCAATTTCGTTTAGGAAGTCAGTGGTGCACTTTACAAACGAGATTTTCCAGTTGCCTTTGTAGCTGTGGGTAAGCACACACCTCAGCAAATGTGAGGGGGCTGGAGGAGGAGCAGCTCATGTTCAGCCAGGAGGAGGACGGAGCTGAAAACCATACGCTACGGATGGAGGAGGACCGAAGGAGCCCGGGACACCGGTGACCCCGTGGGGTCCCCACCCCTGGGCTGCTGCTTCCGTGCAAGAACCGGACTCCTATTTGGGGGCCAGTCCCCGGGTGACAGCCACCACGCTGGCTGTCAGGGAGCACAGAGGGCAACAGGACCCGAGGGCAGACAAGAGGAGAGGGTCGTCCCTAGTCCACACCTACGACAGTAACTGGACTGACTTCAGGAACCCAAAGATTCAGGGGCAACTTGCTTCAGGTCACTGTCACCTGAGAAACGCAGGCTGTGACCGAGCACTAGTGGTGGGCAGCAGACGGACGGGAGACAGCTACTCTTCCTTTGGTCCGAGGGTCACGGCCCACGAAGCCTCCAGAGCCCGTGCCACTCGGCCACAGAGACCGCAGCGAAGAGGCCCAGCAAAACCCAGGCTCCCCCTGAAGACGTGGAACTGGCCGCACGGAGCGGGTGGGCGCGAATCCACTGGGACCAGCGAGTGGAAGCAGGGCCCGGAGGCCTCCTGTGGGAGGTTCTCCAGCTCCGCGCACTGCCGCACCCACGCAGCTTCATCCCGCATCAGGAGGGGCCGGCTCCTCCAGAACACCCAGAGGACAGACCCGTTCACGGCACCACTGGCGCCCGCGGGAACACGCGGGGCCACAAACACCACTCAGGATCCAGTGTGAGACGCTCCGAAAATGGTCCATCACCGGCATCGGTGTCGCCGGGAAACGACAAAGCAGACGGAGGGCTCCCTCCTTACCTTTCATGACGGCCTGGAGCGAAGCCACCTCCTCCCTCCACTGTCTTTTCACCTCGTCGATGGCCTCCTGCTTGGTGTTCTCTGAGACCGTGGCGATGGCCTTGATGTTCTCCACCTCTGCCTGGGCTTCCCACAGCTGCGTCCGAAGCTGCCCCAGGTCATCCTGCGCGGCCTGCAGCACCGCATTCTGCCTCTTCAGGTCCTCTGCGGGGAGGGGAGGGGAGGCCTCCGGTTAGGGAAGGGGCCGCACTCGCACTCAGCAGGCTGACAGCCCAAGGAACAAATACAGCGTCCCCTTTATAATGCTAACAGTCTAACGAAGGAGCTAAACGTTAAATTCAATGTCAGTTAACTTAGAAAACCAATTATTTTAATAAAGATAAGACTCAGGGTGGGTGTGCAGGGCATCACAAATCCATTCCCTACTCATTATCCAAGCAGCCAGTGATGAAGGCCATAGTTTTAGAGCTGAATTTAGACTCTTTCACTCACTGGCTAATCAACTTATTTAACCTCTCTGGCCTCAGTTTCCACATCCACAAGACGGGGATAAAAACACCCATCTTAGAAGGTTGTCTTAGTGATAAACAATTTACTGAAAATGCTTGGGAGTACAATACTTGCACAAGGTGAACATCTGAGAAACGGTTAACACGGGAGAAAAGAAAGCCGGACCACACCGCAAGCTACAAGATCAAGATCAAGGATTTTTAAAAGTCGGGATTAACTTTCTCCTCATCCCTCTGCCACCTCCTCAATATCGAGCTGACATGGTGAGCCAACTACAGACGCAAGCCTACGTAAGCCCAGGGTTTGGCCGAATGGCCCTTCAGACGAGGCGACCACCCCGCCCCCGCCAGTGTTCAGGGCCGTGTCTGCTCCCTACACACTTACCAACAGTCACTATCTTCCACGGTCCCTAATGTTGCCAACACCATGGGGACGAAAACGGTGACAGCTGTCATCTGTATTTCTCTACCAGTAGTGAGGCTGAGTATCTTTATTACATCGATTAATGTCTGTGTTTCTTCCCTGGTGATACCCTTTCCCTGTGCTCATGAACAGTCTTTCCTCGGATTGGGAACGGTATTCTACATACAGTGAGTATCAGTCCTTTTCCTCCAAAGCTTTTCCAGCCTTGCTGCTCTCGGTCTCTTAACTGTTCCATACCTTTTGCCATATAGAAGTTAGGAGACATTTATGCAGAAGAAGCCTTCACCTTTATGCAAAGTCGTCAATTTCCTTTAGAGAACACGGTAACTGAGCTGACAGCCAGCAAAACAATCTGACTTAGGCTCTAACTCGATTACCAGCGGCCATGGGATCTAAGGAATCACACAGCCCTCAAGCCAGATCAGCAGCAACGCTTCTCTGCCTGACTGTCTAAGTGCTTAAAAAATCAGATAGATAAAACTAAGGCACTTTCACTATCAAACACACACAGGAATTAACAGCTTGGTAGTCCAAGTAACAGGGGAAACACCAGACACGCTGATCGTAACTGAAGCCGTTTAAGAAACCTTTATTCGCTCAGCCTCAGTTTTCCGCTGCTTGTCACTATTAAAATATCCCGAAACACCAGCCACAGAAAACTTACAAGAACATTAATTACAGAAAGTAATTATCTGAAGTATCCAGAAGGCAAGCCAGACCCCTGGGACACAGTCATAGGTGTGTGGGAATGATCTAGAGACAAAACACACAAAGCCACAAAAGGGGTGTTCTGGATATAAAAACGTTTTCGTAAAATGTGAAATAAAACAAAAACCATGATCTCAGAATACTCTGTTCGTTTCTGAGAACCACAGTTCCGTCAAGGCTCAAGTCCATGTGCTCTCCCCTCCTCCGCTGATTCTCCCTGATAATGTTTTGTTTCTTGGAAATCATCCAGAGCTGCATACACTGTTGCGTGATCACTACGAACACAAAAACTGCAAATACCAAACCTAAAGACTAACCTGTAGCATGTTTCCACAGAGTTAAAAGCAGCAGAGAGATCCTGAAGGAAGATTCGGCCAAATGTTGCCCCTGACTTTACGCATTTACCTAAGTCTATATTATATGCTATGTATTACATACACACACCCACACACACACACACACACACACACACGTATACACACACACAACCTTTAAGTGAGAAAACAAACAGAAGTTAAAAGTTAGAAAAACCTACACTTTCTGTACCAAAACATTTCAAATCTATCTGCCAGTGGCACAAGTTATTATTAAAGAATAGTTACTGGGGTGCCTGGGTGGCTCAGTCGATTAAGCATCCGACTTGGGCTCAGGTCACAGTCCCGTGGTCCGTGAGTTCAAGCCCCGCATCAGGCTCTGTGCCAACAGCTCAGAGCCCGGAGCCCGCTTCTGATTCTGTGTCTCCCTCTCTCTCTGCCCCTCCCCTGCTCATGCTCTCTCATAAATAAATAAACACTAAAATTTTTAAAAATAATAATAAAGAACAGTTATCACCCATTCTGGCTTTGTAGATGTAATTATAAAGATTTCCAAACACACTCGGAAGGTGAGAATACAGTACAATCTTTCACACGCCTATCACCAAGACTTTGCCACATTTATTTCAACTACCCTTTTTCTTTGAAGTATTTTAAAAACGAGTCCCAGAAACAGTATTACATCACCTAACACACTACACATGCCTCTCTAAAAACAAGAATATTTTCTTACACAAACACGGTGTCACTGTCACACCTAACAAAGTTAACAATTGTTTGATATAATCTAATACCTCGTCTGTAGTAAAACTACTCCAGTTGCCACAAAAATGTCTTTTTGAAGTCTGTATGAATTAGGATCCAAACAAGACACTTCATTCGGATATACTGACACTTTATAGAACATTTCAAACATAGAGACAAATACAGAGAATTACATAATGGACACCTATTACCTAGCTTCATCTTTTTTTTTTCTAGATTTTATTTTTAAGTAAGATCTGTACCCAACACGGGACTTGAACTCACAACCCTGAGAACAAGAGTCTCACGCTCCATGGCCTGAGCTGGCCAGGCGTCCAGGCTTCATCAATTGTTAATATTACTGCTACATGTGTTTCAACCTCTTTTCAACTTCAAGAAGTAAAACATTACAGGGGCGCCTGGGGGGCTCAGTCGGTTGAGCGTCCGGCTTCGGCTCAGGTCATGATCTCACGGTCTGTGGGTTCGAGCCCCGCGTCGGGCTCTGTGCTGACAGCTCGGAGCCTGGAGCCTGCTTCGGAGTCTGTGTCTCCCTCTCTGTCTGCCCCTCCCCCGCTCATGCTCTGTTCCTGTCTCAAAAAAATAAAAAATAAAAAATAAAAAAAGAAGTAAAACATTACAAACACCCTACTTCCCTCAGAAGTAACAACTATCAGGAATTACCATGCATATTTTACACCCTTGCTCTGCTACAGGTTTTCAAACCCCAGTGCTCTCACAGAGTCGTATTCCTCTTTCATTACCTCGATCTCTTAACATTGTTTCGTTCGTGACATTGTTCACACACGTGACGGCTTCGATCATTCACCGCCGTATGACAGTATGGCGTATCAGCTATTACGGCCGTGGACACTCAGGTGCGGGGTAGGCATCTACCTGTTCTACTCGCATGTTCCCATCGTTCTACGCCCACTGTTCTGGGCTCTTCCCAAATTTCTAATGCTATGTCATGTATCAAATTTCCATACATTGAGAACTTCTATAAAAATTACGGAACTTCTAGGGGCACCTGGGTGGCGCAGTCGGTTAAGCGTCCGACTTCAGCCAGGTCACCATCTCGCGGTCCGGGAGTTCGAGCCCCGCGTCGGGCCCTGGGCTGATGGCTCAGAGCCTGGAGCCTGTTTCCGATTCTGTGTCTCCCTCTCTCTCTCTGCCCCTCCCCCGTTCAGGCTCTGTCTCTCTCTGTCCGAAAAATAAATAAACGTTGAAAAAAAAAAATAATTAAAAAAAAAAAAATTATGGAACTTCTATAAAAATGCCCTATTCTCATGCCAATACCATGCTGTCTAAACACAGCAGTATTCATACTATTTTGTCTACTCTCGTACACATTGTAAAGTTTCCCGTAATAAACAGCTTAATAAAAACACTGTAGGTGGTGCCTGGGTGGCTCAGTTGGTTAAGTGTCCCACTTCTGCTCAGGTCATGATCTCACAGTTTGTGGGTTCGAACCCTGTGTCGGGCTCTCTGCTGTCAGTGCAGAGCCCACATCAGATCCTCTGTGCCTCCCACGCTCACGCACATATTCTCTCTTGAAACATTAAAAAAAATTTTTTAATTGAAAAAAAAACCACCGTAAGGGAGGCTGAGTGGCTCAGTTGGTTAAGTGTTCAACTTGAGCTCAGGTCACGATCTCGTGGTCTGTGGGTTCCAGCCCCGCGTCAGGCTCTGTGCTGACAGCTCAGAGCCTGGAGCCTGCTTCAGATTCCGTGTCCCCCTCTCTGCCCCTCCCCCCGCTCGTGCTCTATCTCGAAAATAAACAAATGTTAAACAAAAAAAAAAAAGAATGTTAAAAAACCCCACTGTACTGGTTTTGAATGAAGTGGGGACACTTCCCCTACCAGACGTAAGTTATTACCACAAGCCTCACACACCCGCCACCCAGCTCCAACACTCATAAACCTGCGGGCGATCTCGTCCCTCCATCCACTTCCATTACACAACACACTGTCTTGAGACAAGTCTCAGACATTTTTTTAAACTAATAAACTTTATTTTTTAGAGCAAGTTAGGTTCACAGCAAAACTGAGCAGAAAGTAGAGTTCCCAGTCCCCCCTCCGCACGCGAGCTCCCCTCACCGCAGCAGGGCGCCCGACTTGTAACCGCAGAGCCCACGGGGACACGCTGTTATCAAAGCCCGCGGTCTCCGTTAGGACGCTGTATCCGGCCCTGTGGGCGCACACGACGGTTCCGCTGCCTCGACACCCCCTCTGCCTGTCCGTTCCTCCTTCCCTCCTGACCCTGGCAGCCACCACTGCGTCCACTCTTTGCCTCGTCCGGGATGTCACACGGAACCATACACCCATCGTCTTTTCGGGGTAGCCGAATAACATTCCACCGCCTGGGCGTGCCAGTTTACCTGCTCGGCTCCCAAGTCCTGGCAATTATTAATCAGGTTGCTGCACACGTCGACGTGCAGGTTCTCACGTGAACCCGGGTTTTCAATCGGGGATGTCCCGAGGAGAAAAACCGGTGAACCCCGTTAGC